GGAAAACGTCAGCTCTCACACTCATTGTCCCTGGTGCTGGCACTAGACACTCTGAGAAAGCAGACAGTGTGCAGCAGCCCTGTGTCGGGGAGTGGGCTGTCTGTGGAGGGCCTATTGTTCCTTAGCTGCTGAGTCTGCGAGTCTGGGCCTGTGTGAGGAGACGGACCATCACTGCTGCCCCTCCCAGCCCTGCCAGCAAATTGAAGATCTCTGCCCATTCGTGGACCAGTGAGTGCATGTGTATGGCCTGTAATCCTCCGCTAGTTGGTCACCCAGGCAGGGCTTACTCCCCTCCTTCAGGTTGTTTGGTGAACGAAGATGGCCCCTTGGAGCTAACTGCCTCTCCCTGGGTCACCTTCGTGCGGAAGGCGAGAGAGCGCTTGTCTGCAGTAGAGCCTGGGCCCCTCCTGCTTGATCATTTGTTTCTAGAGCTTTGCTTTAAAAGTCATGTGGCTGGACCTCCGGCAAGTTCCCTCAGCCACCAAGTAGGAGACCAGATCCGGGACCTGCCTGTGCTGGAGGCCTGTCCTGTGCTCTGTGCGAAGCAACCAGGCCTCCTGCCCCAGACGTGCGTGTCCTGGCCCCAGCTTACTTCCAGAACAGCCCGTGGAGACACAGCCTGGCACTCAGTGACTTGGAGGGAGCCCATGTGGCTGGGAAGACCCCAGGCATGGGCTGTGCTGAGCGTGGGTGCCAAAGAACTGCTGCTGGGACCCCCTTTTGCTGCCTGAGAAGTGGACTGTGGTAGCCCTGCTTCTCCCCACACCCAGCCGCGCAGGCGGATCCCCTGGGATAAAGGGGGACCGTCCCAGACCCTCGCAGGCCACGCACCCCTCCTGGCGCAGGAGCCCGGGCGGCCACCTGTTGTTAATCTAGGCCTCATAATCCACCCTGCACTGTGTCAGCAGTTCAAAAGGGCACTGTTAGTATTTTTTGCCGACTTCAATTAACGTGAGATTTCAGAGGCCCCTCTGATCACATTTCATCTGTCACAAGTCAGGAACAAAACAGACAGGTTCCAGTTGAGAGGAAGAAGGAGAAGGAGTTTATTGCAAACAACAACCAAACAGACAGTTTGGGCTGTGCCCAGCCAGGTGCTCGGGGGCGACCAGGGCTCGTCTCTCCAGCGGCCCCGGGCCTGGGCCCCCAGGTCTCCTTCTCCTCCATGTTGCTCCCCTCCCCAAAAAGATGTAAGTGCAATAACTTACTTTAAAGGCAAGAACGTTTCTATTAATATTTTGCTGTAATGTAGTTACTTGGTGGTATAGGCAGTAAAACTTTATGGAACCGACCTCATTTTTTATACATTTTTTTTCTGAATTTTTAATGTATTTTTAATATATATTTTTAATATCCACCCCAGGCCATTAAGCTAAAGGAAAAGTTGCGTTTATACAGGGTTAAAATATCTTACAATGAGAACAGTCAGTATTGGTTGAGGTTCATGTTCCTTCTAGCACTCAGCCCCTTTTCCAACCACTGCACCCCCAGATCGTTAGACATTGAAAACTGTCCTTCAAAATCAGTAGTATAAAGGCCTAGCTCTGTGAACGTAAGCTTGGGGGCGGGGGGGGGGGGGGGCGGAGAATTAGGTCGTGTGTTTACTGGGACACCTCTCCTGCCGCCAGCATCCTTCATGAAGGGAGGCGGGCGGCGCGACTTGGAGAAGTAGGGTTCGTGTGGTCTCCTCATTTTTCTCTTTTATGTTCGTGGAATATTACCCTGGGGGCCAGCTTGCCAGCCGTCCTCCCAGCCGGCCTGAGTCAGGGCCATCACGCCGAGCAGAAGCCCCAGCCTGTCTCCCAAGGTGGCCTCCCCACCATCCAGCCCAGAGGGAGACTCATGCGGAAGCAGGACTCATGGTTGTTTTCATGGGACAGTTCCTCTGGTCCACCCGGCGGAATCGAGGGCAGAAAGGGTGCTGGAGCTGGGCCCAGCGTGGCCGCGGCTATGTGTGCCGGGCCCCACCTCACAATCGCGGAGTCTGTGAGCCAGCCTGGCCGCCGTGCTTCCCCAGGCTGGGGGCTCGGCAGCGAGCGCTGAGAATCAAGTATCGTGGGAAGAACTCAAGGAACCTTACAAAGCCCGTGTGCCCAAGCCCAGTGAAGACTGTGGACAAGCCCCTCCGCGTGCCTCCGCGTCCGGCCCCCAGGCCCTCTCCTCCTCCCCTGCCCCGAGCGGTGACAGCAGGAGGGGGCAGCACCTTAGTGTCAAGCCTTGGCCGCAGGGGCACCCCCAGCAGGATGAGGCTCTCGGCATGGGGGGCTGCCCCCCACGTCAGGTCTGCATCGCCACCTCTGTGAGATCCTAGGCAAATGGCCAAAGGAAATCACCTCTTCAGCTTCTCCGCTTCGCAGCGACCCCCGAGCAGGGCTGTTCCTGCTCCTCCCGCCTGCCTTCCCCAGGAGCCCCCGGCCAGGAGAGCCCTCAGGCCGCTGAGCTGTCCCAGGTGGAGCGGCTTCAGGGAGGCCTCCGGCCTGGAACACGGAGGCCGGGGCCTAGCCCCCCGCCTGGGGAAGAACCCGGGAGGAAGAAGCGGAGGAGAGGGAGGCACTGGAGCAGACAGCTGAGCGCTGGCCCTTCGGGGGGTCGAGGGGGGGGGCAGGGGGAGGATCATGCAGCAGCAGCTGCCCCCTAAGGCCCAGTGGACAAAGCCCGGGCAGCACGTCAGCTGCTCTCAGCTTTCTTGGCCTCTGGTTAAACCTGTCAGGACAGTCACTTCTCCCCCCAACTCCCCAGCTCCGCGATGTGGTTCTCAGCGTGTCAGGCAGGCCCTAGCGGGCAGGACAGGGAGCACAGGCCTGGGGGCAGTAGCCACCCGTGGGGAGATGAGCAGGGACGTGTTAACCGTGAACACCGGGCTCCGGGCGTGGGACAGGCGGCCAGAGCCACAGAGCGACTTCTCCTACGAGGCCTTCTCTTAAAGCAGACGCACAGGGAGTTGGGTGCCAGGCCCCCTTCCAGAAGGATCCAGCGCAAGCCCGCCTCCCTCCTTGGGGCTTTCTCTGTGCACTGACTCTCTCCTGGTGAAAACGTGCCTTGGCGAACGTTCTCGAATTTAGGAGGAAGCGGGTTGCTCCCAGCCTTAGGCAGTTTGCCCTTCCCTCGCCAGGGCTGGGGGGTCTGGGTTATTTCAGTGACCCCCCGGAACTGGAACGGCTTCCCAAGAGCCTCAAGCAATGAAATCCGGAAAGCCACGCCTTCAAGGACGTCCAATCCCATGTCCGAGACCCTGTGGCTCTAGCAGAGCGACCTCAGAGCTACGGTTCACAGAGGCCGACTCGCAGGAGGGAGGCAAAGCCTGATGCTCCCCGTTCTGACCGGGAGCCGATGAGAACTCCAGGCCGAGGTGGACACTGCGGTTTCCTGTAAACCCGGAGCGGCTCTGGGGCAGGGGATCTGACGCCCGTCCGCCCAACCCAAGAGGCTGGCCTGCGTCCAGGCCCCGCGGCTGACAGGCCTGGCCCTCCTCACTGGCAGGATCAAGGGAGAAAGTAAAAAAGACCAGCCCTTCAGGGGGTGGGGCGCCTGCCAGGGACCTCCCGGAGGACGGGGGACGGGCACTGTGGGCCACGGCTTTGGTGGCGGCTGGGGCCAAGCTGCAGGTCTCTAGTCAGGCAGACGTGGAGTGCCCTCCCCCCACCCCCCAAACTCCCCCAGAAAGAGGCTCCTTCCTACAGGCAGGGAAAGGCTGCATCCTGCCGCCACAGCCAGGACAGAGCGAGTGGCTCGGGGAGCTCGGCCCCAGGAGCCTCCCAGAGGCCAGAGAGAGGGGCTGGGACTTCCGATCCCTTAGGAAGAAGCGTGAGGTGGGCTCTGTCTGCCCTGTGCCTGGAAGACCACGGAGCCCCACCCCCCTGGAAGGCTCTGGAAGGTGTGCCAGAGATGGCGGAGGAGGGGAAGGCAGCCTGGAGACCGAGCGTGGGCACAGGTCCTCCAGCAGATCCTGCACGCCCTCCTGACCCTGTGCCGCCCCCAGGCCCTGGCTCCAGTGTCCCGGGTGTAAGTCCTTCCACGCCAAGTCACTGCTCAGCAGCCCCAGTGAGTGCCCAGGTGGGACAGGAGGGAGGAAGACCCTCCCGGAGGGGCCTGATGGGACAGAGAACAGACCTGCCCCACCTGCCACGGTCGATGTCACCCTGCCCACAACCGGACGTCAGGGGCCAGAGGCCGAAGTGTGTGTGCGAGCCCCGGCCCCCACCGACACCTTCCTGTGGCCCTCTCTCTCCGGAAGCTTTTCTCCCCTGAGCACCGTGGGTACCGTGCGGTCTGTATCCGCCCCCTGCAGTTCACCCAGATCCAGAGTTTCCGGGGTGCGTCCCCCGCCTGCGTGTCAGCATTGCTGGTGACAGCTGGATTCTTTGGCTCCGGCTCCTCTGCCCATTCATTCCCTCTGGGCGTGTGCAGCCTGGGGACAGTCAGGACGGGGACTCCTCCATTCTGGGTGATGGTGAGGCAGGTGCCTGGGGTCCAGGAGGTCCGGTTTCATTGGGTGTTAGGAAGAGAAAAGGAGCCGGGAGGGCGGGAGGCTGACCCTGCAGGGCAGCCTGTTCTTCAGACAGTCTTGGGCCCGGTGACCGGGGACCACACAGAAGGATGGACGGACGTGACTGCACTGTGGCTGCCACTGGGTCTTGGCGGGAATTTAAACTTGACGCAGTGGTCACACCAGGCGGGATGGAGGAGCCGGACTGGGGAGAGGGTCTTCAGCTTATAATGGATGCGAAGCCGCAACCCCGGCCTCGGCTTCCTCCGCTGCCCCTGGCCAGGAGCAGGGGTCTCGGCCTCGGTGCAGGGAGGGGCAGGGGCCTGCTGTCCCCTCCCTCCCAGCCGTCCGGGGCCTCCGACCTGGGGTGGCTGAAAGTGCTGAGGGTCAGGCCCCTGGCCCGGGCCAGGTTCCTAAGAGGAAAGTCGGGCGCGAGGCTGGGGGCCTGGGAAGCATGGGCGTGGCCAGTGCCCCGAGGTGGGGGAGGGTGCGGGATGGGGCGGGAGGGGCCCTGTCATGTGGCCCAGGAGATGGCCGCACTGTGCTCCTTGGCCTTCATGCGGAGGGCCGCGATGCTCGAGGTCTTGCGGTCCGGCTCCCCGTTGAGCTCGTAGCCGTTGAGGCCTGGGCTGAGGCCCGCTCCAAACAGGCCGCCCATGTGCGTCTGGCCCACGTGGCTGCCAGCCCCAGAGACACTCAGGAAGTCGGTGACGCCGCCGGCCCCGGAGCCAGGGGGGTGGGCGTGAGGGGACATGCAGGCTGGCACCGGGTCGCAGGGGACCACGCAGGCAGGCACTGGTGAGGCTGCCCCATTGTTGCCGATCCAGGACGGGTTCTGAATCTGGGGAGGAGGAGGGAGAGATGTCACCAGCTGCCTGGGGCGGGGGAGTACATAGGAGTACCCCCTGAGTGACCTCTCCCCACAATGACCTCTCCCCACTTAGGAGCCCAGCATCCTGATGAGCCGTTCTCGAGTGTTTGCTTGGGAGCCTCTCTAAGCATTAAGGTCCCCCAGGCGCCCCCAGAACAGCCTGGGCTGCATGCTTTGGCGGCTGTTCCCGGGGCCAGGCCTGCAGCAGACAGAAGTTCTGTCTGCTTCAAACTTCAGACTTCATCAGGGGTCCAGTGAGAGGCTGGGCCACAGCTAAGCCGATGGCAGCCCGCCTCAGCCGCTGCCTTCCTGAACGGAGACACAGCTGCGGACTTTGTCTCTCTGTCCGTGGGCCCCTTGAGGTCAGCGACTGGATTTACCTCCGGGTCCTCCCAGGCCAGGGCCTCCTAGGTACCCGATCAGTGGAGAGCTTGGTGTTGGGAACATGGGCTCTGGGCTGGGAGGCTGTGGTGTGGAGGGGGTGCGCGTGGGCAGTGGGGACCTACATCTCCCAGAAACCAAAGTCAGTGGCTGAGGATCTCAGAGCTGACGCCCTTGAGGTCTCAGAACTCAAACAGATATGCAGCCTCAGGAGGTGAGCGCAGCGACTGAGTGGGTGGAGCCAGCTGGGCACCCACATGTCCGGGGGGAAGGGGTGGAGGGTGCCCAGGCAGCGGTGGGGGCTGGGCTGGATGCAGCTGTGATCCCTCTCCTCTCCCCAGCTTCCACCTCCGGGCCCCACTCCCCTCTAAGCATTTATGGGAGGTGGCGCTGGGACTCAGCCAAGCCTGGGGCAACACTCATGTGGGACAGAAACGCTCTGGCCTCCCACGTTCTGGTGTAAAGGGCACACAGCTGCACTGGGCCTGAGGGACCTGGAAGCCATGAGCCCCATCTCAGGGGACCTGAGTCCTTCTCCGAAGTGCGGGTTCAGAGTTCGCGGGTGGGGGTCGGAGCGGGCAGCTGGGGCAGGGACTTACCTGGGCATAGTTCTCAGCGCGGGTGAGGAGGGGCAGCTCGTAGGCCGTGGAGAAGTGGGTTCGAACCTGCTGCATCTGCCCAAAACGCTCCCTCTTCCGCCACTTAGCCCTCCGGTTCTGGAACCAGACCTGCAGGGCAGAGCGGGTGTCGTAGGGTCAGAGGCCTAGCCCTTAGCAGTGACCGTGAGCCCAGCAGGCCATGGGGCTGCCGGGAAGCGCTGCTTCAGTGTGCATCCCCAAGGGCTTACCATCTAGAATGATCGAAGCTGAGAGTCAAGGAGGCAGCTTGTTTACCCCCAACCAACCATGGGCGTGACCCTGGCCCGGAACTTCATTTTTGCTACATTTCAGGATCTAGAGCAAGCAAGTGTCACACACACGAAACGTGTCTCGGTCATGAGCATTTATGGGGAGGTGTGGCTCAATCTGCCGTGGAAAAGCTGATAAAAGTACGAATCCCCCTCCAGAAAATGGTCCTGCTTAGACCACCACACACGTGGTTTTCTGAACAGCCTGTGGCTCCCTGTGGCCTACCAGCCAGATGCAGCCCCCTCCTGACTCCGCCTCCGTCATTCTTGTGGGAAACAGCCTCCCAGCTCTGAAACCCCCATGTTAAAGGGCCTGTGGATTACAGGGCTCAGCTGGTCAGGGACGGCTTCTTGGAGGGGAGGGCTGGAGCGGGGCCTTGAGTGCTGGCTAGTGGGAGGAGAGTCCAGGCCTGAGTTTAGAGACACCAGGCAGGCTGCCCTGTTTGGGGAGTGGTGGGAGAAAAGAACCAGGAAGCAGAAGTCAGACTGGGGGGGCTTCGGGTGCCAAGTGGAGGGGTTTGCCCTGGTGCTGTCAGCAGAGGCAGACGCGGCCATTGTAAGCTCTCACTCAGAAGGGGGGCCTGATGTGAGGAGGGCCGGCTGGCACTGAGCATGGGTGGTGGAACGCTGGCCTGACAGGGGCCTAGGAGGAGGGTGGTCTCCGAGGCAGGTGAAGGGGCTGGAACCTCTGGCGGTGGCTGGGGCACTCCTGGCAGCTGAGAACTTTCCCAAGGCTCATGGGCAAGAGCTCACCTCGGGGCCTGTGACCCCTGCCTGGCTTGGAGTCACCAGGTGGAAGAGGGGGTGAGGAGGGATCCGCTTCCAGACCAGGGATGGCCTGGGGCCGAGTCAGAGGCGGTAGATGGGCTCCCAAGGGGCAGTCTGTACAGCAAGCACATCAAACTCAAATAAATGAGGCATGCAGCCTGCAGGCTGCAAGTTTGACATGCTTGCTGTACAGGCTTGCAGTGTCGCCCGGGAATGGGGTGCCCACTGGAGCGCTGGCACTGCCAACAGCCTCCGTTTCCGCATCTGGAAAATGGGCCAATATCTGTATTGACATCTCCCAGGGGTGATGCCTCATACGTGAGACAGATGGGAAACTCTGTCCATTTTTTGAGTGCTCCACATTTGCTTATTTATAGTTCCTGACCTTTCTTAGTCTTTCGCTAGAGAAAAGGCTCAAGAAAGATGGAGTATATGTATCTCATGTGAGAGTGGGAAGGGTGGGGTGAGGAGGTAGTGTGCGCTGCACCTCCCTTCCCCCCAGTTCCAAGTGTGCATGTGCACAAGTATACACACACGCACCATGCGCGCACACACACACGCACACGTATGCACATGCACATGTGCATGTACACACACACGCCTGCCGACGTCTCTTTCAGTCACTCCTTTCCCCCTCTTGACTGGTACAGGAGAAGCTGTCTTCCTGTGTCCTCCCTGGAGACCGGCCCTCTCCTGGGCTTGGGGTCTCAGCCCTGCCCCAGAGCCTGCTGGGAGCCAAGGGCGGGTCAGATCTCCTCTCTGCGCCACTGAAACGGGATCCCCCTTTATCAGCGGCCTGGAATGGGGGGCTGGGGGCAGGATGAGCGAGTGCATCAGAGGAGCTTGTTTTCATTTCATGTTTAATTTCCTGCAGGCTTAGCCCCGTCTTTCCGCTCCTTCCGCCACCTCTCGGGGCTTTCTGTGGGGGGAGCCAGGGGGAGGGGAGAAGCCCACTGGAGGCATCAAGATATATGGCTCCGTTCTTTCGTTGGGGGCGGGGAGAAGGCAAGAAGAGGTTTAGTTGCCGCCGCTGGGGTTTCCCGGAGTCTGAGGACTCGGGTCTCTGTGTGGGGACGCAGAGGGAGAGGTGCTGGTGAAGCCTCAGCAGGCCTGGATGGGCTGGGAGGGACGCGGAGCGAGGAGGGAGGAGGCCAGTGTCCCTAAAGGAGCCTGGGATTGAGGGGAGGAGCAGAGTGTTGGGGGATGGAATGTGGGGGAGCTGAGTGTGGGGGAGGAAGAGGCCGGGAGAGGGGAGACCTGGTTATCGGGGAAGATAGATGAGCAGGCGAGGGAGAGGCAGCAGAGAGAGCACTGGCTTGGGGAGGGGAGGGGATCGGGGTCAGGCTGAGGGCTGGAGATGGAGATGGTGGGAGGTGGCCGGCTGTGGGGGAGCAGACTGCTGGGAGCAGACCTGCCACCTCCCCCTGCAATTCCTTCCTCCCTGGGCCCCACCCCGTGCGCGCGAGGCTGGAGCTTTCTGCCCAGATCGGGGCTTAAGCTAAGTTAGCCTCTCTGGTCTGCAACCTCCTCACACATAAATGGGGTGGTGGCGGAGCATCCTCACGGGCCCCTCCTGTGCAGACATTCGTGGGTCCTGAGGCTCTGTGTCCTTCTATTTCTGACCCCTAGAGCCTGGCGCTCTGAGAGCCACACGCCCCGCCCCCCCTCCCCCCCCATTCTCTGTGCCCCAGGGTGTCTCCATTGCACACCACCAGGAGAGCAGGCGACAAGGTTCTGTGTGTCTCACCCCAGGACCACCCCATTCCCAGGCCCCCCAGCATGGGCCCACTCGGCACAGACCTCTCCCCAAGGAACCAACCTTCTTGGCAGAGGCCTTGCTAACCGCAGCCCATCTGGGGCCCTGGCGGGGTGGCCCAGGGCGGGGAAGGCCTCTGTCTTATTGTCTTCAGACACCAGCTGTGCAGCTTGGAATCCCAGACACAGAGAGCGGCCCCTGCAGCCCCCTGGAGCAGGGCCAAACCCCGGCTTCTTCCCAGGAAGGGTCCATCTCGGCACCCCCATCACCTCCTCCTGTCCCACCACCACTCTGCCCCAGGCACCTGGCTTCCCACCAGCTGGCTGTGGGCCCCAAACAGACTGAGCGGAGGCAGGCAGGGGGTTCCATCACCATCCCCCCTGCCCCCAGGGCACTGCCAGGCTCGGGGCTCAACCCAGAGGTCTGACGCACATGAACATCCCACCCACCCTGCGGCCTTTATACAAAGACGTCTCGGAACAACCTGGCCCGTGTCCTAGTGCAGCAAACTAAGGCAAAATAGGCCCTGGGAGTCTCAGGTCCTAGTCTCAACACTGCCACCGCGTCGCGTTCCTGCGTCCCCTGATCACAGGCAGTCACTCCCCTGCTGGCCTCTTGTTCCTTGTTATCAAATGAGAGGACCAGGTGGTCCTCTCCAGCACTAATAGCCTATAATTCTATGATCGCCCCCTTAGATCAGAAAACATGCAACACTTCAGAGTTTCCCTTTCTGCCTTGGCTGCCAGGAAGCTCAGAGGCGAACTTTGTGCTCAGCGGCAACTATGATCCTAAGCCTAGATTTTTGACGTAATTACCTTCCCATTTTATGAAATTGTTCTTAGGTGAAAATAATAAATCTTCAATTATAAGCTACCTCAATTCCTTTTTGGGGGCAGGCATAGATGTGTGTGTGTGTGTGTGTGTGTGCGCGCGCGCAGAAAGAACACTATTTTAGCTGGATGGTGGTGACCAAAAAATGTTAGGCGTGCCCCAGTGTCATTTCCATGTTTTGTACTGGAAGGGCCATCCTTCTTTCAATACTAAGTGAATTCTACCCCTGGGTACTCCCATCCATTGTTAGGAACACATACAGCACACATATATGTACACACATCCTACACAGAAAATGAACCGGTTAATCCCACACCAACACAGCACCTACAGGAATGTCCCACATCCAGCCCACCCCTTCTCCACTCCTGCCAAATCCATTGGCTGAGCTGAGGCCAGATTCTGGGGTTCCTGTCCAGACTCTGAGCACGTGAGGTCATGTGGTTGGTTATCCCTGGACAGTGGGTGTGAGAGGGCTTTTGGAATCCCAGTAAAGCCGGCCCTGTCTTCCTTCCCCAAACATTCACTTGGGGCCAGAGCGAACAACAGACAGCCTGCCCTCGGGAACTTAAGGCTTAAACAACCCCACTGTTCACAATCACTGTGGTACAGAACCACTTCTGGATGGCTACGTATTTACTGAAACTGCCAGTCCTTTTCCACATTAGCCATCGTACATAACGATTCTGGACTAAATGACAAATGCCTGTCCCTCCACAAGGTAAGACTGATGAAGCCTGTATTGCCTTAGAAGAGCTCTGCTAAGACTCCTTAGTGAACTAATGCAACAGGGGGCGCCCTTGGGTCTGCTGAGTAAGGAAGGGTTCTTTGTCCCAGCACTGAAAGTCCTTCTGAGCTGAGCTGAGCTGTGCTGCTAAAAAAAAAAAAAAAAAAAAAAGCAAAAACAATTCCCTTTTCCTCAAGCTGTTGATTTCCCTAAGCACACTGAGGGGGAAACCTGCTATCTGACAACACCTTATTTGCTATTTCTAACAAGCTCTGGGGTGGGAAGCAGGCTGAGCATGATACTCACTCTGTGTGAAGCTGACGCCTGAGCTTTAGTGTCTAAGTGTTGTCACCTGGTTGGGGTACTCAGAGGTCTTGGCTTCCCGTCTGGTTCTTTCTTTGCTGTAATTTCATGCAGGGAGGCAGGGACACCCTCTCTGGACAAATGAGGCCCACTGGTCCACAAATATTTACTTTTTGCCTTTGTTTCTCTGATTTTGGCCTTCTCTAGTTGGTAGGAATACAGGGATGAACAATCACACAGTGCTTGCCCTCAAAGGCTCATATTCTAGTGCAGCAGTTCTCTCGAACGACCCTTTCACGGGGGTCGCCTAAGACCATCGGAAAACACACATATAATTACATATTGTTTTTGTGATTAATCACTATGCTTTAATTATGTTCAATTTGTAAAATGAAAATACATCCTGCATATCAGGTATTTACAATATGATTCATAACAGTAGCAAAATTACAGTTATGAGGTAGCAACGAAAATAATTTTATGGTTGGGGGTCACCACAACATGAGGAACTGTATTAAAGGGTCGTGGCATTAGGAAGGTTGAGAACCACTGTTCTAGTGGGAGGAGACAAACATAAAATAATTTAAGCCAGTAATTTCTACAAAGAAGATAAAATAGGATAATGTGGCAGTAAGCAACCTTGTTTGGTTGTGTTGTGTTGTGTTGTGTTGAGTTGACTTGGTTTGGGTTGAGTTGCATTGTGTTGATTAAGTTGGATTGTACTGAATTGAGTTGTGTTGGATTTTGTTGGGTTGGGATAGGTTGAGTTGTGTTGCATTGTGTTGGTTTGGGTTGAGTTGGGTTGTACTGGATTAAGCTGTGCTGGATTTTGTTGTGTTGTGTTGTGTTGAGTTGTGTTGGGTGGTATTGTGTTGAGTTGTGTTGTGTTTTGTTGGTTTGGGTTGAGTTGGGTTGTATTGGATTGAGCTGTGCTGGATTTTGTTGTGTTGTGTTGTGTTGTGTTGAGTTGTGTTGGGTGGTATTGTGTTGAGTTGTGTTGTTTTTTGTTGGTTTGGGTTGAGTTGGGTTGTATTGGATTGAGCTGTGCTGGATTTTGTTGTGTTGTGTTGTGTTGAGTTGTGTTGGGTGGTATTGTGTTGAGTTGTGTTGTGTTTTGTTGGTTTGAGTTGAGTTGGGTTGTATTGGATTGAGCTGTGCTGGATGTTGTTGTGTTGTGTTGGGCGGTGGAGAGGGCCACTGCTATCACCATAATGGTCAAGAAGATTTCTCAAAAGAGGCGTATACAGTGGGACCTGAAAGACAGAGAAGTAGGTGGCCGTCCTGGGCAGAAGGAAGAGCTGGATTGTTCTCGGTCTCTGCCCACGGGGCTGCTGTGATGTCTAAGTTTACCCTGTTTCCTTCCTAAGAGACAGTCTTCCATAGCAGAGACTAGTCATTTACTCCTTTATGAAACCACGTAGACTCTCATACCACTTAGAGCCTAAATAGAGATAACAGGCTTCCTGCGTCCCTGCAGGGCCCTGCTTCTCCCACTCCTGCTCCAACCAGAGGGAGAGGCCAATGTTAAAGTGGACAAAAGCAGACTTGGAGCAGGGGCCGGAGGGGCGGGCTGGGAGCCTCTGGGGCTCTCCTTGGACGAGGAGAAGACAGGGTAGTTGAGAGGCAGTCCGTCAGTCTCAGCTCCAGCCACCAGCCCAAGGGCAGGCCCTGCTCTCCCACCCCACCCAGGCACCTCACTGACCTGCACGCGGGCCTCGGTGAGGTCCGTCCGCATGGCCAGCTGCTCCCGCGCGTACACGTCGGGGTAGTGGGTCTTCTGGAAGACCTTCTCCAGCTCCTCCAGCTGGTAGCTGGTGAAGGTGGTTCGGTTCCGCCGCTTCTTGCCCTTGTTGCTCTCCGACTCAGCCTTCTCCAGCGGGCTGGGGAGGTCGGCGCTGGCCCGGTCCTGGGGCCCCTTCACCCCAGCCTCCTTCACACTGAGGTAGCTGCTGTCCATCCCCACGGGGTCAGAGTCGGGCGGCAACTCTGGCTCACTCAGGGAGCTCTCTTTGGCTGAGGGGGAAGGAAACAAGGTCAGAAACCAGTGGCTGAATCAAGAAAGAGAGGAGGGAGGGACAGGGGTGCCATCCCCTGCCTTGTCTCATTGGATGTGAGGTCGGGAGGCCTGGGTTCTGATCTTGGCTTGCCATTACCATGCTGGGTGACCTTGGGCAAGTTCCTTTCCCTCTCTGAGACTTTATCCTCATCTCAAAATGGTCCCCTTTCAGCATCAATGTTATGTGACTCTGGATCAGTCAATTATGGCCTCTATGACCTTTAATTCCCACCCTACTGAGCCCAGTCTCCTCCCTCTAGAAGGCCCCCCTTTGCCAGAACTTCTCCTTTGGGCATGGAGGATGTGTCAGTGCCTTGGACCCCTGAGATGGAAGGGAAAACTCATTCAGCGGTCATTTCTGGCTCAACTGAGCTTGGGGTGAGGAGGAGAGGCCAACATCAAGGCAGGCAGAAATGCCCTTCTTTTCCCGGCCTGGTCCTTTTGGAGGTTCAGCAGGAATTGCGGAGATTCCTCTCCAAAAATCCGCATCCCCTTGCCCTCCACACTGGTCTCACCAATTGGCCAAGCAGCGTCCTGCCCCCTCCAGGTGAGCCCTGGTAGATTTACATAAAGCTGGAGGCCCAGGCCCACAGCCACTGCTGTCTGTCTGTCAGAATGGGGCTCTGGCCACCGGTTCTTGGAAGCTGGAAAGGACCAGTCAACCCATGCAGGTCAAGGATGAGGAGGCAGAGGCCGGGGTGGGAGGGTGGGGTGGGGAGTAGCTTGTCTGCATCCAAAGAGCCAGTTAGCAGCTGGGCAGACACAGGGGCCTCAGGGGTTGGAGCGAGGGCTCTGGAGCCCAACCCTCAGTATGAATCCCACAGGGATGACTCTCCAGCTGTGTGCTTTGGACACTTCACCGAGCCTCTTTGTGCCTCAGTTTCCTCCTCTGTAAAATGGGGCTGAAGATGCCAGGAGGATAGGTATCCTCACAGGGTAGTTGCCGGATTAAAGAGGCCACCATTTAAAGCACGCGGCACAGAACCGGCTGCGAACGCTTCTGCCAGTGTCCTTACTCCCAGTGCGGTCTGGGCTTGCAAACAGCAGAGGACTGACCCTGGAGAAGTCCTCCCAGTGGGCAGACCCTCACTGGAGCCCCTGAGTGCGTCAGCACGCGCGGCACCGTGGGGAGGGAGCGGGATGGCGTCTGCAGACAGGGGTGTGAGCCCCTCTCGGAGCCGCAGTCCCGGTCCGTAACTCTGTGCAGTTAGATAGCGTAACAGATTAATGAGGCACATGTGTGCAGCGTCTGACAAGACCTTTCACACACAAGCTCTGATCGCCACAAGCATGAGGGTCACTCTGACCCTCGGTTTCCTCTTCTGGGACCAGGTCCAAGCAGTGGGCAGTACGTGTTGGGACGATGCCTCTGGCCCAGGTCTCCTGACCCTGCCCAGGTCCTGAGGCTCCAGGTTCACGCCAGGCTTTGTGGGTGCACTGGGGCTCTCCTCACGCCGGGGGAGCTTCGAGGGACATGTCGTCTGTCATTCTCACCTCCCTCTCCAAGGCACTGAAGACCAGGGGGTGGAGGTGAGGGAGCCTGGAAGCTGCTCCAGGAAGACATTTCGGGGTCACGGCCAGCGCTGACGCCACCAGGGGGTGGGCCGGCCCACGGGATCACACGTGGCACCATGTGAGCCCGGCACACACTGCCAGGCCTCAGTGACAGCTTCATGTGAACTGCAGCTGGCAGCTGGGCCAAGAGCTTTCAGCAAAGATATTTATCTTCCTGGCAGACAAATACATTTTATATTTTGGGGTTTTTTTTTTAAAGAGAAGAATTCCCACTCAGCCTCACCAAAAATAAACATCTCTGTTATGCAACTTCCTGTAGGCTAGACTGGCAGGGGCAGCCCCTAGCCCTCCTTCCCTCGCCCTGCTCCCTGGGCCCCATCCTGGGACCCCATGGACCCTTAGAGCGCCCTCTGGCCCCAGGGCTAGGGTTGGGACCGCCCCGCACAGCCTCATGGGCTGAGCAGAAGGAACTCCATGTTATAGAAATGGAGGGTTGGTAGGCACCTGCCCAAAGTCCTGGTTTTAACTGGGGGGAATGTGTGCTCACCCTCTCGGCTCCTGGGGCCTTCCCTGAGGAGAGCGTAGGGGCAGTGGAACCCCGGGCCTCCCACAGCCAAGGAGCCCTGCTCAGCTTGTCCTGGGGCAGAAGGGCCGCCTAAGGATGAGGGAGCAAGGATGAGGCCTCTGAGAGAAACCCCTCCGCGCTGTGCTGGGCTGGGCTTAGCTGGGGGGAGGCGGCAGAACAGCCAGTCTTCTGGGTGAGGAGTCAGAGCTCAGTTTCCCCACCTCCAGCCACCCGCTGAGAGGGAGCGAGGGGCGGAGAGGGGGAGACAGCACTGTCTGTGTGCAGACACCACACCAAGGGCTGGGAGGTCTGCGCTCCACCCCAGTCCCAGCCCCGTCTGCCCATGACTTCATGGGGACTTGTTTCATATCAGTCTCGTCTGCAGATGGGGCAGGCATGCCCCCTCGGGAGTGGGGGGAGCAGGGAGAGGGGGTGTCACGCCTCAGTGGGGTGGAGAATCCTTCCCACCCTGGGACTATGGACCTTCCCCTTGGGATCTGGATGGGGAGGGGGGTGTGGTAGGCATGTCTGTGTCCAGGCAAATGTCAGCTGACTTGAAAGGCCAGGAGATGCCGGGACTCTGGCAAGTTGGTGCTTCCGGTGCTCAAAGAGGAAGAAGAGCCTCCCAATCTCAGTCCTGATGGGTGGTCGCCTTGCTTTCCGTCCTTAGACAGCAAAGGAGCTTTCCCCGAGCTTCTGTGGCCACCCAGCTGGGAGCATGAGAAGCCAAGGCCTCTCCGGTCCTCGGTCCAAATGTCCCAGACTCGGGGCATCTAGCTCAGCCTCCTTCCACCCCCAGCATCTCCACCAGGTGCTGCTGCCCTGGCTTTGGTGACAGAGAGCTCACTGCCCCCAGGGCAGCTGGACACCCGTCCTGAGGTCCAGCCCCTGTCTGTCTCCTGTAGATCTGGCGCATTGGTCCTGGTTCTACACCTCCAGGCTTCCCCAGGACAGCCCTGTGGGCACTGAGAGCCGGCTGCCCCTCCTCCAAGTCTTCCAGCTCCTGACTGTAAAGGTTCAGTTCCCGACGCTGCTCCTCAGGTGGCCCTGAGAGTATGGAGCCTGAGATGGGCAGATGCCAGGGATGGTGCCAGCAAATTGTTCTCTGACTAGATGATCCCACGGGGCTGGTGGAATCGGCATGGCATCCTGAGGCCTGGGTGCCCTTCTCAGTGAGGTGGCCCTGAAAACAGAGCTCCTGCAACTCCCCCGTCTCCCGGGGGGCCCGGAGGCCGAGGCTCAGAGACGGACTTAGGCGTTTCAATGTCCAGGAACCCCAGCCGGGCATCTGCCAGGAGCGGCTCCGCACCCACCGTGCTGCTGTGGCGGGTGGAGAAAAGTCCCTGGGAGTCCGCCCGCTGGCCAGGCTGCAGGGCCGCCGCCTTCAGGACGATGGCACCCGGCACCGGCACGAGGCCGAGGAGCCGCAAGCCCTACCCGGGGCCAGGTCACCGGCCTGCAGTTGGGCGCCTCCCCAGCCCTCCCTGAGGCAGGTCTTCGAAGGGCGCTGTGCTGACACCCCATCCACGGTGGGCTTTGCCCGGCCTTGGGGCCCAATACATTGAAATCCTGATCTGCATCTTCCCTGTGGAATGTCCCGATGTGGAAATGACCCCCAGGCCACCCAGGAGAATCACTAAGGTGGTTAAGACGGAGTGTGAGCACCGCGGGCCCCACGGAAGGTGTGCAGGCCCTGGTGGCCATGGCGGTACCGCCTGCCCTGCAGACACTCCTAGGTAAATGCTACTTCCAGCGCCCGCTTCTGATGAAGTGGGAACTTTCGGTTCAAGGTTCTGTCCTTAATCCGCAGCCCCTAGGGCCCTGGGGCCTCTGCCTGAGCTCCTTCAGGCCGGAGCCTCTCCTGGGAGCCGCCTGGTCCACCGCCGGACCGTCCTGGCTGTGGGCTTTCTTCATCCCCTTACCCTCTGCCCACTTGTCCTGGTTCAACCCAGACGCGTCACTCTAATCTAGCCTGACCTTTGTCTGACGTGAAAGCCTTTGAGAGGTTTCCAAAGGTGACTGCAAATCTTTTTTATGATTATGATTTAAAAAGAATGTTTTACGACTGTGGTTTCAGGAGAAGGGACATCTGAACCCGTTTGGGGAGAGGGTGCCGGACGCCCCTGCGTGGTTCTCCTTCCGTGTGCCCGGGGTGCGCCCTCGGGCGTGTGGCACGGCCGCCGTGGTGAATGGGTGAGGACCTATGTGTACTTGCCTGCGGAGCGCGCGTGCTTGTGCGGGCAAGTGGGATGTGTGTGCTGTTGCGTGTGGGTGCGTGTAGGCAAACATCCTGCAAATACACATGGGTGGGTATGGACATGGGTGGTGTGTGTGTGTGTGTGTGTGTGTGTGTGTAGCTGTGCCCAGGCCCTGCATATGGAGTGTGTGCCTCAGAGGCCTGAGTAATTGTACCCTCCCTGGCTTTGATTACAGCTATTTTTCCTCCAAACATCTGCTTTGAGGGGACATGCCGCTCGTTCTGCTCCCTCTGCTCTCGGGTGAGCCGGCCTCACACCCCCTGTGGCAGAGTGCACAGCGCCGATGTAATCTCCTTAAACAAAACAGGCCAGCGTGAGCCCTTTCATGCTATTTAAAGGAGAGTGACTAAACCCACTGCTGTCCAAACAGTCGTGTGGGGGTGGGGTGGAGGTCAAAGGTTACCCATCGATCACGTCCCGGCCCACCTCCTCTGCCACCGCGCTCTGCCCGGAGCTCAGCTCCACGGCCCTAGTTTAGCTCCAGGCCCGGTAAGGAAGGCGGAAGGAGCGACATTTCAGCGAGCACGCGTGGAGCCTGTCCGTGTGCACCGATGGGGGCAGTGTCCGTGCCCCATGGAGCTGCCCGCCTGCAGAGGACCGTGGGCGGAGGCGCAGGTGC